TTCCTCAATTATGGACTCAGCTAAATATATATCAAGTTCAGATTTTTTAACTCCTACCTGACCACTCTCAAGCTTCTTCTTTTTAAGATCAGCCTTAAACCTGGACACAGGCCTATTTTCAGAATTACCACACTCCATAGATGCTCCAGAAGTAAAAGTTGTATTATAACTTTCACCAACACAGTCAGGGTAACTTGAAACATAATCAACAAATAACTCAGTTAGACCTGACTTCTTTTTTAGAAAAAAAGCAGCACCTTTTTTATCACCATATAAAGCATTTAGCTGAAATGGTATATACTCAAACTTGTCCCTAGGATCTAAGACATTAGCATAGAAGATTAGATAGTTCATCTTTTCAGGATCACCCCAGTACTTGTCTAGTTTGGATTTCATAGTACTCCCCATGGCACTGACAGAAGCAGTTGGAGAGGCAACCATATCTTTGAGGACAAGGAACAAGTCAGAAATTTCAGAAAAAAGGTATTGGAAGTAACATATAGTGAGCCTGAAATTCTTAGTGTCATTTCATAAAAATGTTTTAGAATGGTCACAAAAGATTCAACAGTAATCCAATCTAAAACATCAGGCATGTCAGAACTCAAATCAGTACTATATGCAGATTCATTCTCCTCATAGGCTTCAAACACTTTCTCATTACAAACTGCAGATTTTAGCATCAGGTAAGTGGAATTCCACCTAGTTGGAACATCCAGGTGCAGACCTTTCTTGGCTTCCACTCCTATCAAATCAGATATATCTTTGAACTTTTGAAGCCTAGCAGGTGAGTTCCTAACATACTTAACAGCTTCCCTAACTCTCATGACTGAAGTGTGTGAATCTTTAAGACCATCTTGTACTGCTAAGTTCAAGATGTGTGCAATGCAACGCATATGAACATACTTTACTTTTACAGAAGAAGCACCCCAGGCTACTAATTTTTTCTTGAAAAAACCAACAGTTGTATCATTACTACTAGCATTATCAACAGTCACAGTAAAAATACTTTTCAGACCCCAATCAAGTAAGCAATTCTCTAGGGCTTTAGCAAGGTACTCCCCTTTGTGAGAGGTGACAGGGACAAAGGAAATTATTTTTTTCTGGAGCTTCCACTGATGATCTATGAAATGAGCAGTAATGCACATGTAATTTATCCTCTGAATAGAGGTCCATGTATCAGTAGTTATACTAACTCTCTGAGTTTGTTCCCTAAAATTCCTTTTTAGAGTCATTTTTTCATCAAAGTATATTTGAAAAATGTCTCTAGAAATTGTCCATCTAGAAGGAATTTGAAACCTAGGACAGGCTGCAACAACAAAATTCCTAAAACCTTGTCTGTCTACAAATCTAAAAGGAAGCTCATCAATGATTAGCATTTCACCTAGAGCTCTCCTAATAGCTTGTTGATCAAATACCCAAGTGCCCATGACCCCAGTCTTTCCAGATGGTTCACCTGTCTGTGGAGGTACAGGGTGGAAGGTTAATAGGGCTTGTCTAGTGTCTTTAGCATGGGGTTTTTTCATGCAATTAAGCATGTGATTTCTGATGGAGGAAGTTCCATGTTTCTTAGAGTGACAACAGTATATTTTTGCACAATATATGCACCTCCCCTTAATAACCACACCCTTTTCATCCTTAATTTCATCAAAGTGATCCCAAATCTTAGATCTTTTGTCAACCACTTTTCTCTTTTGTCCAGAAACAGCAGGTGGTGCAGTCTGCTCATTGGTAATGTTAGGCTCAGGAATTTGACTTTCCACCACTGTTTCTTGACTCAGAGGAGGTTGAGATCCAGATGTAGAAAAGGTCACACATTCTTCAGGGTCCATCTAATGTAAGCAAGTAAGCAACACATGATATATTGATATGTGCATACTAAGCTTCCACATTGTTAATACTTAATACCTCACAGATAAGGCAAGTACGCAACACATGAATAAGAGTTGTACATATGCAGTCAGTAAGAGCTTCCACAGAGTTCATATCTCACAAATAATAACCATAATATGTAAGTCTGGAACAATCAGCAAGCTGATTTACAGAAGGATAAAAGCACTTTGCTTTTTCACTTCTCTACAGACTCTGAAGAACCCAGTTCACTCTTTGTACTCGTTTGAGTACTAGAGTACAAAAAGGGTTGTTCAAATTAATCAGAAGGCAATTATGTAAGCAACTAAGCAACACATGATATATTGATAGGTGTATATTAAACTTCCACATAGTTTATGTACATGACAACCTGTATAGGTGTATAGGTGCATATAAATACATCACTGGCACTGCCACATCTCCACACTAGCTAGTACTCAGTAGGCAAGTAGGAAACACATGAATAAGAGCTGTACATAAGGAGTCAGTAAGAGCTTCCACACTTCATTATATAATATATAGCTTCCACACTTCATTCATATTTTTAATAAACAGATTTGAAATTCTGAATGCATTATAAGAGTTGTACATATGCAGTCAGTAAGACAGTAACTCAATCAGGACATCAGGTGTGTATATATACTAATATAGATCAACAATTAACAGGGACAACTGGACAAGCAAACATTCGAACAGATCTGTACATGACTGAACTCAGAAATCAAGTGTGAACTCAACAGTCATTCAGTCAACACGCAAGTTTCAGAAATATATACGAACATCACAAGTTCACAACTGAAAACTCAGAACATGCATGCATCATGAAGGACTAATCATACCATTGTACAAACATTTTAAAGTATTTTATACCTCAAAGGCTTGAAGAAGAATGATTGGGAATCAGTCTCAAATCTCAAGTCTCAACTACTCACGCTGGGCTAGAAGACTATCAAGGCTTCCACACTTACACTAGGTTGAGGACTACAACCTTACAGCGATGCCAACGGTGGCCGATGAATTGAGAAGTCAGAGTCTCTCACTCCTCTGAGGCTCTGAGTCGTAGAGAGTGTATGTTAGGGTTAGGGTTAGCCGCTTAGAGAGTTAGAGAATAGAGATAGAGTGTAACTTAGGGTTATGTGGGGGAAGGGATAACCGGATAAGGGTAATATGGCCTTATGGGTTATGGGCTTGGGGAAATGGGCTTAGGCTAGGTCGGGTGTTCGGGCGGGTCGGGTAGGGATTAGGAGAACCCTACCCGCTGGGTCTCGGGCCAAGCAAATCGGGCTGGCAGGTCGGTTTCAAGGATTCGGGTCGGGTCAACCGACCCATTCTTAAAAATTCGGAGTAATTCGGTCGGGTTTTTCGGGTAGGGTCGGTTTTGCTCAGCCCTATCGCCTGGAGCTGATTAAAACAAGCAACGGTCATCACAATCATTCGGGCAAAACACCAAATCCCATTAAGGAGCTTGCTTCCTTGTCCAAAAATGGCCGTTGAGAACTCAATATTTAAGAGGATTGAAGCCCTCTCAACACATTATTCCATACTCTACACACTTTACTTCTACTTTGGCATCCCAAGAGCAACCCCTTGGTCTTGAGAGAAGTTCTACACTTGGGGAAAGCTTTGTCCACCATAGCTTTGGAGTTGTGGTATCATTTTCTTATGTATTTCATTGTATTTTATCATTTCAATACTTGTAATTTCATTATGAATTGTTCTAGCTAATTTTCCATAGCCAAGGTTAGGGATGAAACTTTACGCACTCTAGGTGTTTGATGTATGTTCTCAACCAAATTATTATGATCTTTCCTTTATATTTTAATGTGTATGATTACGGTGTACAACGTATGATTATATCGTTGGGTTTATTTGAGCAATTAACGTTGAGTTATAAACCGTGCACTTAAAGGTTAGACATATTCTAATTGTGGATAGAAATATACCTCAATTGAGTATGGTGGTTTTTATAATGTCCTAATCTTCAATGGGGTTAATTTTAGATGAATGTGAACCGTGACGGGATTCACATGTAGAATTAATCACAATCTCGTTGCCGTAACATGAGTTAGAATACTTTAGTGACATTTCACTCATATGAATTGGTGAAAGAACATATATTCATCACTAGGAGTCGTTTAGGAGTAATCCCGAACCCTTGGTTGCTTTTATTATCTCTTGAAAAACCAAAAATCTTTACTCTTTTCATAAGTCTTTTACTAAACCCCTTTCCCTTTTTGAATCATATAAACACAACGTTTCCTTGTGTTCGACCCGGTATTTTTACCGGAATTTATTACTACATTGGCACATGTACACTTGCAAGTTTAAGCTTATCACAAAGCGGAGTGCTACGTAACAGCTGCATGTGGGGCCCTCGGGGATCGTGGTAGAGTCGGGGCCCGATGACGTACTCTCTCGGGCTCCCGAGGGGTGTTTTGCGGTGCATATCCTCTCAGTGTCAATGGGCCTTCGATTCCCTCTGCATCCGTTTCTCCTCGAATACCTTCGATATGTAGGCTTAGCCCCCTGCCAGTTGACCCCCAACAGTCATTCATACATCGTCGGGTTTCTGAGCCTTTGCGGGTTCGGGGGGTAACAGTCAGCCTTGATCTGTTTTTCTAGAGCTTCAACCTTTGTCGCAGAGGCCACATAAATTCCGAGGGGTTTGCCAATCTTCAGCAGCTTGCCCCGTGGAGACTATTTGATGATGTGCCCTCGTCCCATAAGGGCTGGAAAGATCGTTTCTGCTACGTCAGGGTGGCGGAAAACCCGTTCCCAGGGGAGCTAAGGAACTACTTCAGGAGGCACCCGAAGGTGGAGGGTGCTGCCCTCGAGAAAGATGGTAGGAAGATCTCTGCCATTCCAGTGGGGCGCGAAAAGCATATGTCAATCAAGGAGCTGACCCTTGATGACAATGTATATGATCTCGGCTTCCGGCGTTACCGGTTTCTGGGGGAAGTGGATGAGAAGTACCCCATACTAGATCGAGCCTTCGAGAGCGCAGGAGGTAGTTCTCGGGGGCTCCATTTTTTGCACTTAGAACTTTTGTAGCTTATACACGTATTCATTTTGTCTTGACCCCTCGGCCTCATTTATTTGTGTTGTCTTGCAGGTGCTAAAATGGATATCAATTCCTTTGCCGCTTTGAAGAAGCAAAAGGCGAAGGGTCCCGACAAAAAGGATTCGGGCAAGCAGAAGCCCGTCGGGGAGTTCTTTAAGCAAAAGCCCTCGGCCGCCCCCTCTGATGATGCTGCCAAGAGGAAGGCAGCGGGCAAGGGTCTAGCCCCCGAAGGGAAGAGGCCCAAAAAAGAGGATGACGGGAAGAAGGATCCATCGGTCTTGATCGTGGATGAGCATTCCACTTCTGGGCCCAATGTTCTGGTGGCCACGACTGCTTCTAATCTTCCTCCAGTGCAGAAGGGTGAAGTGGGCTTGCCCCGAGAGGACATACAGTTCTCCCTCCTGAAGGGGACCGCCATTATTCATGGTACTGTGGACCCCCGGGAGTTCTTGAGCGGGGCCACTCCTTCGCTGGATAGGACAGCCCTCGGCAGGCTTGATGATGAAGCCCTTGAGTCTAAGATCCTTCGGTCCTCTCTTACTGTAAGCTTCTCTTTTCCTTTGTCCCTTTTCTAACCACTTAGCGTACTTGCATAATAATCTAACTCCTTTGTCTATTGTTAACAGGCTTGCATAGCCCTCGGTGAGCATGCCCGGAGGTTCGATGAATGGCGCCTTCATAAGGCACAACAGGATGAGGCCATGAAGAAGCTCATCCATGATAATGTTGATGCCGTGAGGCAGATGGCCCGACTAGAAGAGGACCTTTGGCAGGCGAAGGCTGAGGCGGAGAGAGTTACAAAGGAGAAGGCGGAAGCCGAGAGGGCCGCTGCTGAGGCCGCGAAGAAAGCCGCCGAGGAGTCCGAGGCCGCCAGGGCAGAAGCCGTCGCTAATGTTGTTGCTGCCTTCATCGCCGAGGGGTGGAGGGCCGAGGGCCAAAATCAATGGGTGGCCTCGGTGGTGGAGGCCTCAGTAGATGCTTGGGTGAAGGGCCCTGGGGCAATGTGGCTAGCCCGCAAGGGCGAAGATTATTACGCCGGGGGGGGGGGGATTTTTCACTCAAGCCCTCATCTACAAAAGGCTGGCCTGACACTATCAAGTGGATCCGAAGGACTTCGATCTTGCAGCATACGGCCTCCCCCCTTCAGCCAGATATCAGAATTCCTCTCCCGGCCAATGTTGAAAGGCCCGATCTTGAAGACTCCATGCTGATGCAGGAGGCTCTGGGCGGAGATGAGTAGGCCGAAGCGGATGCCACTTCCAAGCCAGCCGAAGAGGTTGTTGCTGAAGCTGCCAACCCCTGACTTGTACTTAGATAGTTTTTGGACAATACTCTGTAATATACATTAGGTAACCTTCGGCTTCGGCCTTGATGTATAACAATTTACTCTTCGGTTTTGATAATGAATGCCTTCGTTTTTTTCCTTGTGATTGAATGCCTTCGTCCTTTTCTTGTGAATGAATGCCTTCATATTTTTCTTGTGAATGAATGCCTTTGTATTTTTCTTGTGAAGGAATGCCTTCGTCTTTTGATGTTTGATTTGTCAGCCATTTAGGACTTAGAAAATTTTTCCAAGTGTTTGTCCAACACTAGGCCCTCGGTTGATGTTTCCTTCTGAACTTGTGTAGCTGTCATGAGTTGACCGAGGGCCAAAAATTTAGGACTTAGAAAATTTTTCTAAGTGTTGCTTACAACTTGGCCCTCGGTTGACATCTTCTTTCGTGTGCCTTGTGTTGTGTGAGTTGTAAGCCCTCCTTCGTTGGTGGCCGGGGGCCAATAGTTTAGGACTTAGAAAATTTTCTAAGTAGTATTCACTGCTGGGCCCTCGGCTGGTGTCTCCATTTAGTCCGCATGCATGCCACGAGCTAACCGAGGGCCTAAGTTTTAGGACTTAGACGTTTTTCAAGTGGTGTTTTGCCCCTAGGCCCTCGGTTGACACACCCCCCAGCTGTATGTAGTGGCTGGCCTTCACCATATATCTCCGGGGGAATCGGTGTTGTGGACTTAGCCAAATTTTGAGTGGCTTGATGAATGTGCCCTCGGTTTGTAGTAGCCTTAGGACAAGTTTTCCTTAGCAAAGGATGGTGACGCCGGGGGGCCTAAGTCATGGAGGATTACTTTGGTGCCTTCGGTAAGGCTAGAGGATGCAGTAGTGATAGTCAAACTTGGCTCATTCCTAGCATAGGAGTCTCCGGTGATGTTGGATTCCAAAGTGTGGACTTAGGAATTCTCGAGTCCAATGTATTATAGCCGATGCCCTCGATCCCCGTCGACTTCTCAAAGGATGTACAATAGGTGCTGCATAGCAAGGGCCTCCGGAGTTAATGCCTCTGGCATGTGTTGAAATGCCGGGGGCTGGCAGAATGTGGGCATGGCCATATTTTGGTAACACTTTGGTGAATAGTAGCCTTCGGAATAATGCCAATGCCCGAAGTAAAATTTAGGATTAAGAGCCCTCGGTGTGATAGGGATTGCCTTCGTGGTGCCCTTTCTTGCAATCTGCCGAAGGATGTTTTGTCGTGGAGTATTGAAACTTGCACTCATTGATTGCTCGTTGAGTCTACTCCCCTTCACTCCAATTTGTTTTTGGACAGTGAAGGGAAGGCTTGAAGAAACTAGGTTTCTTGATAAGGTTTGGCCTGTCGGGAGGCAACGGTATAAGTTGTTGGCTCCCCCCTCGGGATTAACCTTCCGGGTTTCGAGGGGATCGAGGGTCGTTTCCTCAGCCCGAGACATAGTCTGTTGCCTGCCTCCCCTTGGGGGATGGCACAGAAAGCGCCTCAGTTTTGAAAGTCGTTCCCTCAGCCCGAGACATAGTCGGTTGCCTTCCATTCCCTTGGGGTAATGGTGCGGGAAGCGTTTCGTTTTTGAAAGTCGAATCCTCGGCCCGGGACTTAGTCCGTTGCCTGCCATTCCCTTGGGGTAATGGCGCGGAAAGAATTTCAGGAAAGGGTTTTATTTGCATATTAGCTGCAAATGGCCGGGGGCACTAGGTACCCCCGGTGCCGATAGGTGGGGCCTTTAGGGTGATTGCGTCCTCGAGGGGTACAGCTTTATTTTTAACACTTGGTGTTGTTTTTTTGCATACAGTACTCCCGGTACATGGTGTTTTCTTTTGTTGTCGTAGTTGATTTGAGGGTCCACCCTCGGCACTTGGTGTCGGGGGTCTTGTGATAAGGCCTTGGGCCAGGAGTTTTCACGAGGGCTTGGCCACTCATGTGTGCTGTGTACTTGGTACTTTTGGTGTCTTCACATGTGTTTATTCTTTAAAAATAGGAGGCCTTGGGCCATCAGATAATACATTAATAAATCATGAAGGCTTGGCCTCTCATACGTTACTGATAGAATTTGACCAGATGGTGCACATTCCAATGTCTAGGGACCTCGGTCCCATTGGGGCATTTGAGCTTGTACGTCCCTGGTTTGATGATGGCTGCAATGATGTAGGGGCCTTCGAATTATGGTGCCATTTTTCCGCCCTCACTTGCTTGTCTAGCTTTCCTTCTCCGTAGGACATAGTCCCCCACTTGGAATTCTCGAGAGTGAACCTTGGCGTCGATGTAGCCTTTTACCTGTCTTCGGTAGTTCTCCGCCTTTAGGAAGGCCTGCTCTCGGCGTTTTGAGATTAGGTGAAGGTCGAGGGCCATGTTGGCGTCGTTGACCTTAGGTTCATATTGGTCCACCCTTCGGGTAGGAAGAGTTACCTCTGTGGGAGCCTTAGCTTCGAATCCATAACATAGGGAAAAGGGTGTTTCGCCGAGGGGTGGTGCGGAAGGTGTTAGGAAATTGATGTAACGTACCTCGAAAGTACAGCAGCGGAAGTTTAAAATTTTTCCAAACAGATCTTTCCTGATTATGACAAAATAACGAATATGATAATAATAACAAATCTGAGTTAGAACTTACAGATCTTCCAGCCTAGCGGTGAAAATCCTTGACCTTTGGTATCCACGTGATTTCTCCTTTCCGAAAGAACGGTTAGATCTCCCTAAGAGAAAGGCTAGGAAATCTCTTCGCAGGGAAATAAACTGGTAATACTGAATCTAAAAACTGGTCTATCAATTATGAAGGAGGAGGGTGTATTTATACTTGTTCTAAACTAGTTTCCCAATCACAATGAAAGTGTTCTTCATTAATGAGTTCTAATCCTAACAGGACCAATACTCCTTATTAATGATTCAATTAATTAAACAAAACAAAAATAACCAACAATAAGAGTAAAGTGGGCTTGCACGCCACTTTTACTCATGATCATTATTTATTTTTATTTTCTCTTTTCTTTTAATTCTAAATTATAAAGAAAAGTACCAACTTTATTTAATTAAAAATACATCTTAATTAAGTACAATAAATCCAATTTATTCCACTTAATTAATTCTATCAAATAGAACTCTCCTTCAACTTCATGAATTAAATATGTTTAATCTAATTAATATTTAATCCATTTTCAGTATTACTAATTAAATATTATTTAATCCAATTAATAATATTTAAATCCTTCTAACAATTCAATCGGAAGGTAAAATCACTTGTTGTGTGACCCATAGGGCCTTATATATTAAGCACTAATCAAATTAAGGTCTTAGTAGAATCCCTAGACGATTTACCAGACAAACTTAATATATAAGGACGTTTGCGAGGACTATTCAAACTCCCTGTAATATAGAGCTCATAGTGACACGGTCCTTTCATTCAGCGAACATTCAACTAAGTCTAAAACATGATATTGTGTCTATCCCAATAACTCAGTCTCTGTCTCTCAATCTTTCTAGACGATCCATAACGATCATATTCGATATCCAAAACGAATATATCTTTGCATTGGCCAATGACTTTATGATCCATCTAGATATGAAAAGTAGAATGTTCTCTCTTAATCTATTATGAGGAATGAATCCTTTCTTGGCTCAACTACTACTCTATGTGCTTCGTGATGCACCCAACACATGCCGTATCTACCCCGATTGGAGTGCAAGCGTTGGTCATGGTCAAAGTACATCACTCCACACATGTAGTACGTATTGACCTCAAGTCGGAGGACTATTACACTACTCTATATGCCGATAATCCCATAGACACATGAATAGAACTTATCAAATGGTTTCTCGGTGGGTGTGCCAATATTCTCTAAAATATCTATGTGACCATCATGAATTACATGAACTCATAGTTGTGAGATCAACTATACTTTCTAAAAGTATGATGCAGTTCACATACCAATCTTATCGCATATCATCAATATCCCATTCTTGATGATCATTGATTGGGGCCATTTTAGGACTTTATGTTATATCATATAAGCTCCCACTTACTTATTGACAACATAAGTCCAAGGGAACACAATTATGAATAAGATATTGACAATCGAAATACTTAATCATCAATGTGTAATACCGTATATATCAAATATATAAAACTGAATGTGATCAAGTACATATATCTCTAAAAGGTGATTGTCGCTAGGACATATATACTAACAATCTCCCACTTGGCCTAGTGCCAATCACCGATGCGTCTAACACCTAGTCTCTTAAAAGTCTAGTATGTTTCTCGCATCTCAAAGGTTTGGTGAATGGGTGAGCCAAATTGTCCTCTACGAGAAGGCATTCTATTGCAACTTCTCATCTTGCTACTTGTTATCAAACACGATAGCATGCTGGTATTTTCTAGTTCCTTACTTTGCATCTTGGTTTCTTAGCTTGTGCAAATGCACCGGCACAGTCACAATAACAATTATTGGATAACTGTCACTAGGAACTACCTCTATTTCCTTAAGGAACTAACGTATCTAAACGCTTACCTATGTTGCATCAAATGCAACAATTTACTAGCTTCTAGTTGTCGAATTTACAATAGTTTCTTACTTGCAATTCTTGCAGCATTACTATTACATTGAGACTTAAAAACATATACTGGCTGTGACTCGTAGTCTTTCTTATCATACATGAAACTAGTGCTAGAATAATTAAATTCTACTAGTTCTTTCTGTCTATCATAGACAAAAGATATTCATGAATATTTTTGGTGACCATTCTTTCACTGACTTCAATGAGGGGATATCATTCTCTATGATCAACATATATGATTATAAAGACAACGCTATCCTTGTTGCGCACTCTAAACACGCAAGCACCCTCATTTCATTTGATGAGGTCAAATGATATGACTTTTTCATCAAAATTAATATTTCAACTCCTAGATGCTTGTTCTAGCCCATAAATAGATTTCTCTAATTAACATATTGAATTAGAATTTGATATGGATATAAAACCTTCAGGCTGTACCATGTACACCTCCTCC